ACTGCTGGCCATGGGCAGAACTTTCGATCCCACATCCCTCCATTAGAAGGGGAAAATGCCCTCCCATGAAGCGAGGCCAAGAGGTCAAGCTGCCTTTTGACCTCACTGTCCCAAGCTGCCTTTTTCTTCTTTTCTGGCCCTGCAGTTACGTGCAGAGACACCTCCCTGGTTCGCTAAACCTACCCGGCCAGTTCCTATACAGACCACCACCGTTTCTGCCCGTTAACGTTTCTGCCGCTGCTCAGAAGCAAGCTCCATTGAGTTCCATGGAATTTACTCCCAGGTAAGTGTATATAGCTCTGTAGCCCTAAATCTCGTTCAAAGTACCACAAGATTTTTCCAGTTTTGTCTCACGTGTGCACACACTTTCACTCACACTGTACATATTTATTTGTATTCTTTATTATTAGATTTATATCCTGCTTTTTTCTTACAACAAACTCAAAGTGGCTCACATCATTCTCCTCCGCTGTTCCCCATCTTATCCCCAAAACAACAACCCTGTGAGGTAGGTTGGGCTGAGAGGCTGTGACTGGCCCAGAGTCACCCAGTTGGTTCCACGGCCGAGCGGGGGCCAGAACCCAGGTCACCCGAGTCCCAGTCCCACACTCTGAACCATTACACCAGACTGGTTCTGCATGCGCACACGCACGCACACATGATCTACACATGCATGCACATCTCTCCCATTCTTTCCCTCTCTCTCACACACACTTCCTATAGAGAGAGAAAATTTCAGGATTCCTCTTGCATAGTTTTCTCTGGTTCCCTGGCTCACGGAGGAAGAGTTGGGAGCCATCCAAGGAAGTGAAACTCAGCCGGCACTTGCAAAGCATGAAGACCAACGCCGTGTTTTGAGGTGTATCTTTGCAGCTGCACAGAACAGAAATGTTCAGAGAGAGAGAGAGAGAGAGAGAGAGAGAGAGAGAGGAGGCTTTCTGAGGAAGCTCCATGCAGTGCAGCACCTGCAGCTTCCCTTGCTGGCCCCACAGCGCGGCCTGGGGCGCTTTCCGGTCCTTGGCTGCTTGGTCCCCAGGTGTCCCGGGTGGCTTGGACCTCCTTTTCGCCAGGACAAGCCTTCCACACTGGTCTGCAAACTCCTCGGTCGGCCAGGCAGCCTAACAGGCTAACCATGCGGAGGATGCGAGGAGGGGGAAGGCATCCCCGAGCAACGAGGGCAGTGGTCGCAACTCAGCCGTCGCCTTTCCTAGCCTTGCCACCCTGCCTGCCCCCCAGCATTGCAAGGCAACTGAAGTGTGCCTTCCTTCCTTCCTTCCTTCCTTCCTTCCTTCCTTCCTTCCTTCCTTCCTTCCTTCCAACCACCCCCCGCCCTGCACCTCCTGACCTGAAAACACCCTCTGGCAGAATGCGTGCTCCAGACCGCCCCTGGGCTCCGGCTGCAGTGTGGGGAGCCAGGGCACGCCCAGGCTGCAGGACAGGCGGTTGTGCAACACACATCTGGACACACGTGCACCCTCTTTCCGCCAGCCCCTACGGAAGACGAGCACAAGCATCCCAAACCCAGCCCAGGCGAACTTCTCCAAAATTCATGTTCTGGTCCAAAGCAAGCTCTTTTTTATTCGATGGCTGTGCAAGACACTTGTGAAAGACAATCGCAGCCCCGTGCTGCTGTGCCAGATGCTGCGGAGCGCTGAGGAGCGAGCAGAGCATCGCAAGTGGGACACGCGGGGCAGAGAATGGGGGCCTGGTGAAGGGACGATGGGGACTGGGATCCAAAAGCCCGGAGGCCTGGACGGAGGGAGGAAAGCTCAGGAACAGCGAGGCTTTGCGCCCGCCGCCCATGGAATCGCCTCCAGCGCCCAGTGCCGTGTCTCTGGCAGGGCAGGGCAGCACCGGGACATCTGAAACTCGGCCTGGCCCTCTGCACGTGCCCTGAGACCAGGAAGTCCCAGAGGCCACCTCTGGCAGGGTCCCCTGCCCCCCACCATGCGTTTTGAGAATGCCTGCTGACTCGCAGAGATGCGTGGAGGTGCAGCTGAGCCTTCCGGCATCCGGGGCCGAACTCTGACGAGAGTGTCGGCTCTCCGACACCATCCCCAGATCGGCCCGCTGTTCCTCGGCAGCCAGCTGCAAAAGCGTGCCTGCATCTTTCCCTGGATGCACTGACACTACCAAGCGGTTTCTGCCCGTCTGTCCATCCTCCGCCTGAGCAGCCGTGGCAGCTGGAAGCGCCCGCTTCCAAAGGAGACTCGGCAGCGTGCGGGGCCGGAGCAAGATCAGGCGGGGGCAGGATGCTTTGCAGTGTCTCCTGGAGGTCCTGTCCTGTCCCACCTGGAGGATTGTTCGCTGGAGGAAAAGGAAGAAGAGGGGGAGCAGGAGGGGGAGGGCCAGGCCGGACAACGAAGCCAAGGTGCTCCGTTTGTGGGCGAGAGCCGTGGCGCGTCTTTCTCATCTGCCAGTCTTTGCCTGGGACGCAGGAAGCCGGCATGGTGGGCAGAGTGGGCCTGGGCTGGGGACGGAGGAGGGAAGCTCTCTGGGGGGCACTGGGCCCCTCCTTACCTGGCAGGGCCATTCTGAGAATGCACTAGAGCCAAGAGGAGACAAGGCAGGCGATGAACAACCTGCGATGACCAGCAGCTTGCCGAGGCGAACCCTCAAACGGCTGGGGAGCATGGGGGCCGCTTCCCAGTCCACACGGGGTGCCATGCACAAGCCCCCGGCTGAGGATCCGGCCACTCCTGTGGCCTGGCTGCAGCCTGCGAGCCCCCAGGGGTGCAGAGGGGCATCGGTGCTTTCCAAAACGGATCCCGGACTTGGACTTCCGCGTGCCGCCTTTCCGTGGCTGAAGCTGCAGGGCCGCGTGGGGAGCAGGCCCGACTCTCTCAGGGCCAGCCTTGCGGCTGAAACACCCGGCCACATGGGGGGGCACTCTCTTTCCCTACACTCAGCAGAGCTCGCCCTGCAGACCCCAAGGGGCCCTGGACCCCCCCTTGGGAGCGGCCACACTGGACCAGGACTGGGGGGGCAGCTGTGGTGCCTGCTGGCAGGGCCATGGGGGGTCGCATCCTAGGGGAGTCTCGGAGGGGCCTCGCTGTGTCTGGAAGGGGGCCCCCGGCCGGAGGGGCGGCTTTGGGCTGGCAGTGCCCGCTCTCAGAGACTCAAGCGAGGTGGAGAGGTGGCCAAATGCCCTTGGGGAAAGTTTAGGGGGCACCGCCAGAGCATCCCCGGAGGGGTACGAGCGGGAGGGCGGGGGGGTGGGCTGCAGTTCGGGAAGTGGCGCGCCGGGGTTTCGAGGGGCGGAATGACTGCCGGGGTCTGACAGGCAGCGCGCTCCGCAGGGGCAGGCCGGGAGCTGGAGGAATCCCGCTTCCCGAGGCCGCTGCGCCGGCGGGGGCGGCGGCGGCGGCGGCGGGGGGGCGGCTTGGAGGGCGGCGGGCGCGCGGCTGGCGGAGGACGAGGGTCCTTCCTCCGCCGCGCCGCGCCGCTGCCGCCGCCTGCCCCCCGCCCCGTCCGTCCGTCGGTCCGTCCGTCCCCTGGAGTCCGCTCCTCCCCGGATGATGTCAGCCCGCCTGGCCCGGTGGCTCCAGCCCCCTCCTCTCCCTCTCCCTCTCCTCCTCCTCCTCCTCCTCCCTCCTCCCTGGGGAGGCGGCGGGAGGCGGCATGGCCCGGCTCGGCCCGGCCGGAGGCGGAGGCGGAGGCGGCCCCGTCCCCGTCCCCCTGCGGCTGGAGGCTGCGGCCGGGCCCGCGCACTGGCTGGCCGTGCTGATGGTGCTGCTGCCGGACGACG